AAAAAAAAAAAAAGGAGACACTACAACAGCAGATTCAATGCACTGCTGCGAACAATTACAAGTGATCTGGCGAAAATAAAGCTCCCCACCTCCACCACGTCATCTATTTTAGGTTAAAAGATATAGGTGGTTTAAAAAAATGTATAAAGTATTATGGCTATGATTTTTTAAGTCCTTTGCCAAAGTTGACAAACTTACCAGTAGATGAGGGTTTTTAATGCCCTACCACCTCACGAGGCTTCAAAATCTTAATTAGACCCAAATTAAATTAAAACAGTACAGAAGATTTTAGTTCTTGTTCGCAAAATTAAGATCTCTCTATTAAGAGGGGACAAGAAAGGACTATGCTACTGACAAAAGCACACCACAGAGAATCCAACCACCTGGAAAATTCTATCCAAACCAATTTGGATAAAATCTGTTTTTTTTTTTTAATTCTCCAAAGCTCTGTGCCCTCAGCTCTAGAGCTCTGTGTGTGGCCCTCTGAAACCGGTTTCCTGTCCAGGAAGCAGCGGAGTTTCCACTTCACCACTGCCCCAGGCATCACCACCCAACACATCCTGCACTTCCTCTGTCCTTCACTTGTCCCGTATGTCCCCTTCATTAGCCTCTGAGGACATGAAGCATCTTTAACCCAGGCCTATGACACAATAACCCCACAACAGTAGGAGAATCAAATATTCTCAAAGATACTTAACGGGCCTAGGTTTCTCCCAACTATGTGTAACTGTGACCAGCCCCAATTCCACATTTCTATCCTTAAGTATTTGACTATTTCATTCCTGAAAGCCCCGAAGGCTTTTGCTAAACACTAAGTAAGTTCCACCTCTAAGGTTACATACCTGGAGGATGGGGCATGTACCGACCATCCAAAATCTGCAATCTTAAGCTCTCCAGCTGAACCGAGGAGCAGGTTCTCTGGCTTAATGTCTCTATGAATGACTCTCTTTGAGTGACAATAAGACAGGGCATCTGCCAACTCCGTGATATACTACGGAAACAAAAAGTATGGAAAATCTGCGTCACACATTTTATATAACACATTTTATTTTTAAAGTTTTTATTTATTTTTGACAGGGAGAGAGAGAGAGAGAGAGAAAGAGAGAACACCAGCAGGGGAGGGGGAGAAAGAGAGGGAGACACAGAATCGGAAGCAGGCTCCAGGCTCAGAGCTGTCAACACAGAGCCCGACTCAGGGCTCCAACTCGTGAACTGCAAGATCATGACCTGAGCCAAAGTCAGATGCTTAACCGACTAAGGCACCTAGGCACCCCTATATAACACAATTTTAGACATCTCTTCTGAAAGGAAAGCCAACATCGATTTTAATATGTTTTATAGGTTTTAAGGCTAGAAACAACCGAGGACTCAAAAAAAATTTTTTTCGAACCAAATTCATGTTTAGCATAAAATACGAGTATTCCATACTAAGTTATTTATTTGCTAATATAGCAGATAGGACATTGAAGGACAGGGGGGAAAACTGATGAGCTAGAAATACTAGTAGCAATGAATGATGATAACAACTGAAAAACTGGCACAAATTAGCGAGTCAGACATGTAAACAATTAAAATTTTTTTTTAATTTTCAAGTACAGTCTGTTCCCATTTTTTTTAATTCCCATTTTTAAAACCAAGATCAATTTATAACACAAGCATTTGTTTGAAACTCAAAATTTAAGGGGAAAAAACAATCTTGAAAAAAAATTAAAAGCGGGTACATTTGCGTGTTACATAGTGTTAAACTTGGGGGTATACGTATTCATTGGTCAGCTTAAAAAGCACACACAGCACGTCAGTCCTTTTGTTAGTTTTCTTTTCATGTCAGCCAAAGAGAGCTCTAGCAAGTCCAGAATCTGCTTTAGCAAAAGGATAAGAATTGTTATCAGCGTATTGAAAGAATATGTTTAGTTCCGGCTGAAGGTGTTTTTTTTTTTTTTTTTTTTTTTTTTTTTTTTTTAATGTTTATTTATTTTTGAGAAAGAGAGAGAGAGCGCATGAGCCAGGGAGGGGCAGAGAGAGGGAGACACAGAATCTGAAGCAGGCTCCAAGATGTTAGCATAGCCTGGTGTGGGGCTCAAACCCATGAACTGTGAGATTATGATCTGAGCCGAAATCGGACATTTAAACCGACTGAGCCACCCACTCTGGCTGAAGAAAGGTTTTCCAAAGCAACCACTAGACAGAACTGAACACATTGTTTTACACCAAAAAGTTCTACTCGACAAATTGCTGTAAAAAGCAAATATCATGGTCAGAAGAAATGTTTTCATTTTTTTCAGGCAAAAGCCAGAGACCAAAATCTAGAAAATAATAAACTGAAAGTGGAGGCAAAGAGAGCTCTTCTACACCAAACTGAGCTACTGACATAAAGATCACATACTAGATTCTTGAGGGCAAGGCATTTTCTCCGCTCAAATCAAGGCCAAGGAGCTAGTTCAACCAGGGCTCTCCAGCAGCCGCCTCCTTCACACCTCCCACATCACACTGTGAATATGTATAAAGGGCCCCAATATTTCTCTACACTTACTTTTATTTGAATTAATCAGGAAAGGGAAACAGTGTGCATACATATTCATTCTAACTACTATAGAATCTAGAAAGAACCAAGTTTTTCTTTCAAATAACTACTGCTTACACCAACATAAACTCCATCTGGATTGAACAAAATGTAGTAGTAGAAATATTAACTGCCAATTAAATAAGACAACTAATTTGGTTAGCTAATATTTTGAGAGTAATAAGATGAATCTATTTCTACTTATCCACAAAGCAAACATTTAACATTAAGTTTAAAATAGTATGTCCATTTTCCTGAGACCACACCAAAGGGTCATTCACCACTCGTGCTGTGAATTCACAAGTACAACCACCTGAAAGTAACACCATTTCCATCAATGCCAAAAAGAAAGAATGAGTGTAATCAAAGTAACCACCCATCATCTGCTGATTCAACAAAAAAACTGCCCAAAGACACTCTACTTCTTCAAACAAGTAATTTCATCCAAAATAAAGAAGCAGCACAATCCATAGGGTAAAAACCAAAAACCCAAACCAAAAACCCAATTATGTTGGATGTTAAGATTAGATGCAGGTAAGAAGATGAAAAGACAAGCCACCAGCTGGGAGAAAACATTTGTAAAACGTGTGGGATAAAGGACCTGTATCCAAAATATACAAGAACTCTTCCAACTCAAAATGACCAAAAACCTGATTAAAAATGGGCAAAAAATCTGAACAGGCACTGCAAAGATGACAATACACATGGCAAATAAGCACATGAAAAGATACCTGTCATAGATCACTAGAGAACTACAAATTAAAACAATGAGTTACCACATACGCCAATAAGAAGGGCTAACCTCCAAAACACAGTACCAGTCGCTGGTGAGGAGGAGGAACAGGGGCACACTCACTGGTGGAAATGCAAAGTGGTGTAGCTACTTTGGAAGATGGTTTAACAGTTTCTTATAAAGTTACACATAATCTCCCCACACAAGCTAGTTTTCAAATCTGTTAAAAACGTACGACCCACAAAAACATGCATGCAGATGTTTATAGCAGCTTTATTCATAATCACCAGTAACTAGAAGCAACCAAGATACCCTTCAATCGATGAAGTGATAAACTGTACTGTAGCCATGCTGCAAAAATATTATTCAGCAATAAAAAATGAGCTACCGCACCCTGAAAAGATACAGGTGAATCTTAAATGCATCTAGTTGTTTCCCCACTGGGGTAACTGGTTAATCATTCGGATACCACTGCACATGGACACTGGAACTGAATAATCAAACTGTTGGTGGACAGAATTCAGGTTTTTCAAGGCTGCAATGGGAGGTTACAGATAAACAAGGGGAGGAGGGTAGAATGAATCCTGTGGTAATGGACTCATGTTTTGCTTAATATAGATACAAATGGATAAAAATACAGATACATGTGTATACATAGATTAGTCCCTGTTCTGTCAGCTGAGATCACGGAGAAGACATGACACCCCACTAGCAATGAGCACATCTTGCACCCAGGTCTTGGTTTCTAATACCATTTTCCCATAAAAGGAACCAGGGCTCCTTGGAGAAATGGCTGATTCTAGGACTGAGATAGGAAATCTACAAAATGAGGTGCAGCATCCTACAGGGCCAGATGCAGGGAAGTGCTCAAACACCACACCCACAATGATGGGAGTAGGTCAAAAAAACCAACCAACCAAAGAAAAAAACAAACAACAACAACAACAAAAACCCACCTAAAACAGGAGCCATGTGAAAGGGATCCCAAGGGCCAAAGTAGTATTGGACTATACTCAAAGTATAAAATATCCATGAGTCCACATTAATAAATGACTGAATAAATAAGGGAGAACAGACAAATCTCTGATGCAGAAGAATTCTGAACAATTTATGTAGATTAGGGTGGGGGTGGCACATAATCCCTACTCCTTAAGTGTGGGCTGTGCATAGTGACACGCTTTAGAAGAACCCAGTATGCAAAGAGAAAAAGAGTAACTTCACAGCAAAGACACCTAATGAACGTGACCTCAGCCAGGGGACCAAGGCCAACACCCGCAGCGATGAGCCAGGTGAATAGTAGGTACCCCACACTAATGTAAGATAAACAGGAGAAAATAAGTCTGCACTATCTTCACATTCTGTAAATCTAAAACTATTGTAAACTTTTTAAAAAAGAGGATAACTACAAAGGGGCACCTGGGTGGCTCAGTCGGCCGGCCGTTCAACTTTGGTCATGATCTAACAGTTTGTGGGTTCCAGCCCCACGTCGGGCTTTGTGCTGACAGCTGGGAGCCTGGAGTCTGCTTCAGATTGTGTCTCCCTCTCTCTCTGCCCCTCCCCTGCTCACATTCCGTTTCTCTCTCTCTCAAAAATAAACATTAAAAAATAAAAATACAATTAAAAAAAGAGGGCAACTATTCACATATACATTTCTCTAGAAAACCGCTGTGGAAACACACCAGCCACAATATTCCACCTGGTACTTGATTTTATGTGCATGGATGGTACAACTAAGGTATTCTGATTCTTTCATTCAAACATTTGATCCTATTAAGCAATCTTTCTTTAGAAGAAACCCACTGGACTGTAATGAAAGGGCGCATTGCTATGTGGGGTGGAACAGAGGGAACAAGAGTTAGGACAGTAAATGAAAACTCACAGTAGCAGTTCTCTGCTCATCAAACTTGGACAGTTTCTGAAGTTCTCGGTAGACAGCTCCAAGAGGTGCATATTCTAGAATTAGGTAAACTCTGGTGGCGTCATGGAAATAACCATACAGTCTGAGAATATTTGGATGCCTGCAACAAAGGATGAATACTCTTTAACACCTGCTTTCTGGAGAGGATACAAGAATATGTACTAAGTACCAATCAAACCCCTCATGTAAAACCAGTGAAAATTAGTTCTGGTCACAGACCCCCTACCACACCCTTCACCAAACTTGAGAATCTGAAACTACAGACCTGCTTTGAAGAAAAATACACACATCTGCCTATCAGTTTACAAGCAATGCAAGGTATTAGTGGACCTCAGGTTTGGTTAAGATTATTTCCTTCCTTCAGGTCATCTTTATTATTAGGGGGGGAAATTCAGCTATGTATTAATTTTCTGCCTATTAGAAAGAGGGAGAGGCATGGCACTCCCACAGCAGTTTGATTCCCAAGCACTAGGAGACACAACTTAAAAGCAGGGTTCAACAGCAGCAGATGTTTGCTGCTGAGGACTTCGGGCAGCTGAGAACACGGCCCAGGGCAATAGCCCTTCAGCTCCAGCTAGTTGTTGCCAGGGAGGGTTACAGGCCTGATTGGACAGGTTTTTAAGTATTAACAAGTGATTCAAGTCTGAAAAAAATACTAAGAAGAAAAAAAGAAAGGAAAAAGACCCATTGGCCAAAGTCAACCTGCAGGCTGCCAGTTTGCAACCTCTGCTTAGAACTCAGAAATATCGAGGTACTGGGTTGAGCATCTGACTTCGGCTCAGGTCATGATCTCACCACTCGTGAGTTCAAGACCCTTGTCGGGGTCTGTGCTAACAGCTCAGAGCCTGGAGCCTGCTTCGGATTCTGCATCTCCCTCTTTGACCTTCCTTGTGCTCGCTCTCTCTCTCTCTCTCTCTCTCAAAAATAAATAAACATTTAAAACAAAGAAAAAAAAGAACTCAGAAGTATCATTCCCTTAATCTCTCTCTCTCTCTCTCTCTCACACACACACACACACACACACACACACACACACACACACACACACACACACACTTGACTCATATAAATTACTTCATTAACACAGCATGAACCTCCAAGTGATTTTTCAGGACCACAGCACTTCTCTAGTCAAATCCTTGAAAAATGATGAATTAAACCATTCTTTGCAGTACTATGGAGCAGGCCTTCCATGGTTTAACTCTTAGTAACTAGGTTCTGTACCACATTCTCTCGAACATCAATCTGGAAACTTACCTGAGGTGGGACTGTATTTCTACTTCTCTTCTCAGCTGATGCTCGACTCCCGCTTTCTCCAGCTGAGCTTTAAATAATACTTTAAGAGCCAGGATAAACTTGCTTTGTTTTTCTCTCGCCAAATAAACATTACCAAACTTTCCTTTACCCAGCGGGCGACCGATTTCAAAATCTTCCAAAGCCCACTGCCTTCTAGGAAAAATTTTGAATATTTTAAAATATGAAGAAAACAAATCTTTTCTAACAATTTATTAACGGGTAGTAGATAGACCTCTAAATAATTTTATATTTAATGTTGTATTCGGTAGGTAACCTCGGCAAGAACCAAGCCAATAACTACGCTACGGGAGTCTCCACAGGCATTAAATCCCCCGCTCCCCTATCTGCCAATGACTGTATGAGTCAGACAAAGAACAATCTGGGCTTTTAGAGCCGAAGCATTAACGCAAAGTGTCCCAAGACAGTACTACACTCTGAAGTGCACACTTGTTGCCACCACCGTTAAAGAGCACAGGAAAGGTTAGGTAAGTAAGTGGAGGGAGGAGGCCTTCAGAACGGTCTGTGGGCCTCTAGCAGGCTAACCACAGCCTCCTCCTCCAACCTAGAGATGCTGACTCTCGGGGTGGACAATCAGTCTGCCAAAGCAGGCGGGATGGATCCTACAGCTGGATTTCGATTCTCAGAAAGCCACTATTAGGCAGTCAAGCAAAAAAGCCTGTGGGTTCATTCCTGGCTCCTCCTACTACATTATAGACATTACGTTCTACGTTGTAGAGTCTACACAGTTCAGAAGTTGGGAACAAGCTTTGGGAAAATATCCGGGGAAGACGGTATAAAGAACAATTCAATGAATACTGTTGAAATATTCATCTAGTCATATATACGTGTGTATACAGTTTTGCAACAGGAGAATAGAAATAGTATAGAAACAAACCTAAGCTACATGTAGTGGTTACTTCTGAGGGTAGAGAGGAACTTATTTTACACATTTCTGTAACAGATTCATACAAGTTTGTTCTAAATTTGGAACACAGTAAGAAAAGCTTGAGTCACGAGTAAACATCATTAAAATTCCCTTTTGCCAAAGGTTAGAATTTGGAAACATTTATATATCCTAAGTGAAAATATAAAGACCTTTTCTATTTTAAAAAAAAAAAAATTTTTTTTTTTTA